ATCAGATTCATATTACTGTCAAATCTGTCAGATTGAAGTCAATGAGAGATTCTTTCATTCTATATGGTAAGCAAATAAATGGAAATATTATCTTGGATTTACTGTTTAAGCTTATACCTGGAAATTATCTGAAAAATATTTAATAGTAACCAAATGTGAGTTTTACTGATTTATAAAAGAATAAAAGAAAAACTAAATATTTCAGGTGGGACTGTTGTGTTCTAAGACCTAATTACAAATATTTTCTAAGTGGTCAAATTTTCTCATTTGCCACATTACTATATGGAACTAATCTGGGTTTGACAACAGTGTGCCAGCCTTATATATTGTATGGAAATATATTAATGCCGGAGGACTGCAATGATGTGTATTATGAATTTGAGTAAGTATATGATATGTTATAAAAATCAATGCATAACATTTTGAACCAACATTTAATTAGAAAATATATAAAGAAAAACTCTCAGACGCAAGTGTTCTGATGCATTTTGTAATTTCTACTAAATTTTAAAGTTAAAAGCAGTACATAACTTATGTCTTTCTATATGATATATTTATTAAAGTTAACAATATAATACACCGAATTAATACTCTGTGTATTCTTTATATTACATTCAATCAAAATCTTTTTTAAAAAGTTCTTATAACCAACCATGTCTTATTGGTGTTCATTTATAACAAATCAAACTTGTTCTCTTAATAAAAAAAATATTATATAAAATCTCAAATATTTCTAGTTGAGTAATTTAAAGTATCTAAATAGGAAATGCAATATTATTCTTTATCTTATTTTTAATTAAGTTAGGTATTGAATTTAAGACACTTGATGATGTTGCACTGTCAAATTAAATAAAATTTATGAATTTTCTATCATATAACATATAAGAATATTTATTAATTTGTATTTTCTTGAATATGCAAAACTTATTTTAAGGATATGGTACAGGTATAGCATTATATATATTGAATATTCTTTTTTTTGTTCTGTATATCACTGAAACTATTCTTATAGATTTTTGTACAAATCAAAATAATACCATATGTTTAACCAAGAAAATAATGTGGAAAGAATTACAATACCACGATTGCGTTATCGGCAGCTAAAACTCATAAAAACCACTGACGTACTTTTAAAAATTCCTTTTAATAAAAATACAAATGTTTGTTGATGCGCTATGAGGAATGTATATTATTTTTCGATTATTAAAGTACGTAAATCTATGGTTTAATTATAATGAATTTCTTCATTTATTTCAGCTTGGCCTTATGTTTTGTATCCTGTATCTATGGACTTGGTTATCTTCTAGTAACTGCTCTAGTTTTAATACGACAAATTCTCATATACATTCCAAAATATAGCGGTAAGCTTTTAAATATCTCCATGAAGACTACTACCGATATTCAAACAAAAATTTTAATCTTATTTTCCTTATTTCAGAACCGCAATGGAAGAAACTAATTAATGTGTTAACAGTATAAAAAATACTGACCCAAATTCCACAGGCAAATAATGAACTTGAAGTATGAAGAAGTATTGAAATATTATGATTAAATTTAGATTTAAATCGAATTATTTAAATCCAAAAATTTATTATCATTAGGGATAACGGAATAAATCAAGAGATATTTACTTGAGAGTTTACGAAATACCGAAATCATTTTTTAACGAAGAGATGTACCTACCTTCACGTTTTTCTCGCTTCTCTGGAAACAACAGCTCTCAGTGCAAGGTGAATGAAGTCACCTCAGCGTTTTGGTACTGAAGTATTTATTGGGGATGGGTTCCGTATTCCCGACCTAAAATTGAAATTGGTGGTTTGATCTAATTTTACAAAAACGACCCCAAATGACAATGCTATCCAACCAAAAACAAACACTCGACCCAATCGTACATTCGGTTACCGAGATCATCTTTGTGGATGAATGTGCCGAGTCGCCAGTATAGCGTTTCTCGCTTCACTCAAATAATAGTTTTCACGATATATTATGTGCGAGGAAAAGTTTCTTGACAAAATCATCACGCTTATTTCATATTCATATTGTATGATAGGATTAATATGACGTTATAAATTATTTTATAATTATCCATAACTTTACATATACATATAAAAACATTTAGTCATTACCAACTTTTATATTATAAAACTATTTATGTCATTGCACTAAGTTGATATGATATGAAATATGTCGGTTTTGGAGTCATGTTACATAACTCAAATGAATTTTATAAAGTAGGTAATAATTATATTATGAATTAAATAAACGTCTATAAATCAATAAGCATATCTATTGTAGAATTAATATAAAATATTAAATTATTTACCATTCTTTACTGAGCTCTTCTACACTTTAGTTTTTAAGTTTACAAACGTATGTGACAATAAGAAACAAAAAATAAATATTCTCTTACATTAAAATAATCTCTGGGTCCTTTGAATCTTAACATGATTATTTTGTAAGTAATATTTTAAATGAAAAATTTAAGAAGAGCAAGTAGTCTCATCGGCTTTAATAGAAAAAGATTCGTAGTGTTTTAGAATATGCATCACCAGTTTGGAGCCCAAGTTACAAAATTTATAAAAGTCGTCTTGAAAAAATTCAACAGGGTTTTACAAGATTTTTAGCATATAAAGACAGAAACTGTCCATATCGGGCAGACTATGCAACACGTTTGAAATATTTCAAGCTAGATACATTGGAGAAACGGCGGTCTCTGAATGACTTAATGTTTTTACATAAGCTCATTCACAACTCAGTAGATTCTTCAAAGCTACTTTCTCAAATAAATTTATATGTTCCGAAAACCATTCCTAGATATCCAATTAAAAGCACCTTCGCCATTCCAAGATTTCGCACAAATGTCGGAAAATTTTCACCTTTAATTCGTTGCATGAGGACCTACAATCAAATTGATTCCCATGTCGTCGACATATACAGCCAAAGTAATAATAGTTTTAAAAAAATAATTAATACTGTTTTAGTTGATAATTGATATTTATGTTTGTTAGCTTATTTTGTTCGTTTTAGTTAGTAATTGATATTTTATCTTAGTTTTATTTTTTTTATTGATATGTTATTTTATTGTAATATTCTTTAAATGTCTTGTGTAGTTTTTACCTTACCCTTAGTTCTTTTGTTATAATGTAAGCAATAATGTAAATACCTGTAATGGTGTATCACACCGAACAAGTTTATTTTTTTAATATTTTTTTTTTTCAACATATAGTTTGTGAATATGCCGATGGTATTTCAGAAATAAATAAATAAATAAATAAAAAGATGATTTCGTAATTTTCCCGCCCTTTGACAAATGTCATACGCTGTAAATAAACTTTACCACACCATAGACAAAAGTAAACTGTATCTACACGGTATATCCTACAATTTACAAAAGCAATCTTTAATAGCATTATTGAAACTTCTAATATTTTTCTGTGTTCCTTTTATAAATGAACGTGCTATATAGATATCCTATGTTCTTAAGGCTCATAAAAGAATATTTTATGAATTGTATTGATATTTTCTACTAATAATGTGTTTATATATTCAACCCTATTTGGGTTTAAACTAGAGCATTATCATTTAAAATCTTGTCATTCCTGTGCCTCAGTCTTTAGGTCGATAATAATTTAAATCGAGGTATACATCTATAAATTTTTAATAATAAATAATTTCTGTTATTCATTATTTTATTAGATTTTCAGATAGGGTTAAAATTCAGAAAGGTATTTCAAAGTACTGAAAGAAGTAGGTACTCACAAATTAGTGACAATGTTATGATTGTGGATTTTTCCACCTTGTAGTCAAAATTGCCAATAAGTTTATAAACATTACACAACTAAATAGTTTTTTTATTAATAAAATAATTATAATGATGCAGCCATAATTTTTAGATTGGATAGATATAAATAAAAATGCATGAAAATTCAAATATTCAGTGAAATTCAAGGTATATATTTTATAATACTTATCGTACACAAATAATATGAAGACTAAAATAAATTTACACTACTTCTGATATTATAAATGAGACGTCAATAACTCCGGAATTGCTAAACAGTCTATTAAAAAAGAATATTGCATATGGTCACACTGTTCCCGGATACTTTAAAATTACTGTTACATAAGTTAGTGGTGGCCTAGTGGTTAACGGATCCGCCTCTCAGGTTCAAACCTTGCAAGTACCAATGTGATTTTTCGGAATGATATGTACTTTCTGGGAGTATTTAGACACCACTGACATACGGTGAAGGAAAAACATCGTGAGGAAACCTGGACTTATAGTTTCACAATTATAAGTTTGAAATCACCAACCCGTCTTGAGCAAGCATGGTGATTAATGCTCAAACCTTCTCCATGAGAAAGAGGCCTTTGCGCAGCAGTGGGCGCTGATAGGCTAATGACGATATAGGAATTACACGTACTCATAAATCATACATGTGCACAATAACGAAATGTAGAATAAATATCAAACAAGTAACTGTGAGTAAAACCAATTGAAATAAAATATTATTTTATATAAATCTTAAAAATTTTGATAGATAATAAAAGCTGAAAGGTCCCATACATTTAGAATTGCTGTTGTACTGTGATATTTTTTTGTTGCTATGTATTATTTTTCCTGATCTATGAAATGTTTTATGATATAATAGTAAAATTTTATGAAGCCTCCGGGGATTTCGGCCCTCTTTAGAAATCAGTACAGTCCAGTGTCGATACATCGTTATTTTAAAAAAAAGTTATTGTATTTTTTTTCTAATGTCACATTTCCCTAATTCTACTTTCTTTTTACCATTCCACTACCCGTGTATACCTTAGAAAGCGATCATAAGCTTCATACTTATAAACTAGTAAGTCTGGTTTTATTTCAACTTAAAAGTAATTACTAATTAGGCGTATTATTTTAGCTATTATAAACATTAATTTTATGTTTAATCATCAGGCGGGCAATAATCTGGAACAACTAATAATACTTTTTCCCTCCATCTTAACTTTCTTACTTCTTGTTCTCTTTTCAAAGCGTTCAAAGCGGGTAACGTACGCCAGCAGGTAAACGTTTTGAATAATATATTGCTGAAATATATAAAAATTAAATAAATAATTATGATATTCTGTGTTCAGTGAGATTTGTTTGACAAATTCATTTATTACCTGTTATGATATACTACAGCTTTTTTCCATTTAAATTCGTTTTCTTGCCTTATAACCCTTATGGCGTCACGGAATTTGCGGAAAACCAAATTTGTAACATATAAATCGTAATAATCTTCGGCCACTTGTTTTTTCAGAATATATTCGTGATGGTTCTGTAATGAAACATAAATAATAATGTAATCATTTTCACTTAATAATTACTTGTAACTTTTTATTTGTATTACAAAGATTACCATTTTAAAACCATTAAAGATTTTGGTTAATATTTTCTTTCTATAAAATTCTTCCGCTTTATAATTCCTTTCAAACCACTTATCTTCCGTGTACCACATCCAATGTAAGAACAAATTCTTCAACAACTGGAATCTATAATGCCTCTTCGCTTTTTCGATATTATCTTGCTTCATTTCCATTAAACGCCTCAATGGCCTGATGCCATATTTTGTCATCAAATTTCTTTCGTAATGTAAATCTGCCATTACGATTAGAGCTCTCATTCTTTCCGCGTGTTGTTTCTTCCTTATATTTTCAATTTTCTCTTTTTTACGTTTGTCTTTTAATTCTTTAATTCTTTTTAATTTTTCTTCTCTATCCATTTCTAGTTTCGCTAGTTCCGCCTATAAAAAATCATGAAGTATATACTATATTAACAGTATTTCTTCTACATGCCTATTAAAAATATTGTATTAATTAATATCTATTAGTTGTTACCTGTTGTTTAAGTCGAATACGTTCTTCTTCTATTTGCTGTCTTCTTTCTCTTATCAAGGCATGCTTTTCTTCACGCTCTCTCGCCCTGGCTTCCATTCTTTGAAGAAATTGAGGTACTTTTAAACAATGCAATATAAGAGATGGTTCTGAAACATATTATTAGAATTTCAACCAGGAATTCACTAAGGAGTATACATACAAAATAGAAAGTACCTTCAAATTCTTTAATTTTCAGCTCGTTTGTTAGATTTTTAATTTTCGGTTTGAGATGTTTGTCTATTTCGTAATACGTCCTTCGGATGTCTTCCTTCATAGTATTCAAGGACTGTTGTGATGCGTCAACAATTTTATTATATTTGAGCTGTTCTATTAATTTGTTTTGTTCTTCTAGTTTTGCTTTTTGCAGTGCTATGATATGTTTTTGGACTTTATATCTACAACAGGAGAAATCAGTTGGTGGATAAATATTTAGGCGATTAACATTTGAATTCTATATATATGATAATTTGTGTTTAATAAATATTTACCGGTGTTGATATGAGTTATAGTCTCGTGCAAGTATCTTCGATTTTTGCACTGATTCTGATTCATTATTATTCACATTACATTTTTTCTTTGCAAGTTTTTCAAAAAATATATTTAACGTTTCTTTTCGTTGTTCGTACATACGAATTTCCTTTTTCTTATTAACATACATTCTCCATAATCTCGTGTATTTCGTGCTTAAATATTTTTGTCGTTCACGAATTTTTGTAACTGCTGGTGTAATGTATAGAATTTTATTTATATCACTATCTGTAGAATGTTCTTCTATGTTAGGCTTATAATTATTTTGGCATAATACACTCCTATTTGTTCTACAAACTTCTTCATCAGATTCAGCATCTATATTTTTATTAATTGTCATCATTATCAACAGGGACTGCAGATCTTTTTTGTATTCATTCAATATTTCTTTGTTTTCATTATTATTTTGCGCACTTATTCCACTGTTTTCAATTGATTTTTCTTGATTTTTTGTTTTTGAATCTATCATCGTATTTTTACTATCAGTCTTCATTGTTTTATCTGCGAATGTTGGATGCGAATCAGTTTTTTCTTTCTGTATTAACTTGAAGTCACTATCATTTTCTATTACAAAATTTTTAGCGTCTTCTGTATAATTATTAATAAACCAAACTTCATTTTTTAATTCAATGTTATCATCTAAACAAAAAATATTTTTTAATTTCGTTGAATGTTTTTCTTGACATTTTTTGGTTTTCAACATCGTTTGATTTTTTAAATTCATGTTTCAGGGTCATCAACTTTTTTTGTTCCTTACTGTCTTTTATTTTTCCAATGATTTTCTAAAATGTTAAAGCATACAGTTAATTTCATAATTGTAAATAACAATCTGTTATCGCTACTTTTTATTTTAAGCGTGGGCCAATAAATATAAATATTATTAAACAATTTCATTACTAAATTGAAACCAAAAATTTTTATTCATAGCAATAATAATTTTTCATAAAGCCTTAAATATAAATCGTTCTATAACTGTTTTTCTATTAAAAATAAAATAAAAAACATGAGCTACAAGAATATATAATATACGTGCTTAGTTACTCTTATCTTGGATATGTATAAAATTTTGTGAGAGTATAAGAAGGATACTATATACATACCTGAAGTGCAGCTTTTGCGAATAACTTTATCACAAAATAGTTTTTATTCGACCAGTACTTATTAAGTTTGAAAAATAGTTTTTAAAACATTTCATTCACAAATATCTACGATTGTTTATTAATAATGGAAACATGTTTTACCCCGAACATTGTACAAAATACAAATCAACAACAAGATTTCTAACAAAGGTTGCATGGAAACCGTGTAATCGATATATCTTATGGTTTAATAGTTAAATTAAGGAGTGGGGACATTAATGCATACTTATTGCATATACCAAATTTCCGTATAAATAAATAAAGTGCGGACACGTTCCAAGTGTTCCAAGTGTGGACGCGCGCGGCGGCGTGCTGATACAACACCACGCCGCCGCACGCGTGTGTGTGTGTGTGTGTATACCTAATCTGTAAGGTGTTCACACGATGCGTAATTAATTACATAACTTTTGGTTAACTTTACTTAGAAGTTTATTAATATTTATGTTATATTAATTTTTATTTTGTCAAATATCACGTCCTCAAGTATCGATAGTAATTCACCAGTCACCCTGTATACATAAAAATTTATTGACATATTTTCCATATTTCTAGTAATGTTATAATTTTATAGGTATAATTATCATAGGCCCGTTGGACGGCTCGTAAAAAGAGGTTCCCTTTTTTTCCGGCGTCGGGATGTGACGACCCCTTCGCCCACTGGTGTATTCCGGTGGAATCAGTCATGGGGGGGAGGACTGGGGGTACAGCCCTGGGAGTCAGACGGTCACGGATCTGGCAGGAGGCCCTCCGTGGCTGTCTTGGGGGGAGGGGATACTCGGGTCTCTCCGGAGGTCAGAGTTCGCTTGTGGTCGGCCAGCTTCCTGCCGTCGGGCAGACAGAGAGAAAACTCTTTTTTACAATTCTTTATATTACAGAATTCTTTTTTAAAAAAATCCGAAAAAACCTTTTTCCGTTCATTTTATATTTAATCTCAGTCATATTTTATATTACTTAGACTGAGAAAATTCTTATTAGCGCCATCATATATAAGGCGACCAACTTTCCGAAAACTGAATGCGGGACTTAACCTTTCGTGAATGGCGGGGGGGGGGTTAGGGATTGGAAATGTCATAAAAATCTTCGCAACTGCCCATAATAAATTTAAGTACTCTCTTACGCGTCATGAGTTCAGAAGAAAGAAAGAAAATGAGATTAGCGCGGGCGCGATACGCTTGTCGCTATTATAGGTAATCTGTATTCCTGCACTGTTGCCCGTGGTATGGGTGTTGTGTAGAAGTGTGGTAGAAAAATAGGGATACGGGACATGCGGGACGCATACAACGTTTTGCGGGACTATTTTGACTAATAATTTCAAAGCGGGATTTCATCTAGAATTGCGGGACGGTCCCGCAGAATGCGGGACGGTTGGTCGCCTTAATCATATATTTCGGTCCGAAGTAATTTGATAATATAAGTTAATGACTAATGTAGACAAATTATTTTTCCTTATATGTGTGATAAATTTAATACATGCTGGAAGTAATAATTTTGCAACTGAATCTTAGAGTAATGTTATGTATTTCACAAAATTCTGAACATTTTAGTTTATGAACGATCACGGTTGTCATTTTTCTGACGGCTGCCAAAGATACAGTTATCACTTATCTATTAAAATGTCATTACAAGTTCAAAATACTTTTAGTCTTGCTTATTAATCGAAATTCATATGAAACACTTAAGGCTCTAATTACGAATTATTAGGTAAATGTATCTACCTCTGCATAATGGATCAGAAAGAAAATACATCATTAAAATACCGGTTAAAAAATTATCACTATTTACGGTATCGTTGCCCCTGTTCGCCTTCATAATATGCGTTTTAATTACTATGTATAAAGATTTTGAAAGTGCGAATAATACGCATTGTAAAGTGCCAAACGTTTTTCCTTCAATATCAGCTTCGATAGGCAACTACGAACCTCAACGCACAATTTGGAGACTCGCCATATACAGTCACGCTCCAATAAGGTTTTTTATAATTTATTTAAGATGGGAGTATTATAGAAGTATTATTAGCCAGAGTTGTGCCTTTGTAGTAAATTTAGCAGTTAGTTTAAATATTATTGAGAATTTAACATTACTAGGACTAACACATTGGACCTCGTCCCAAAATTATCGTAAGTAATAAAAAACTAAGTATGTTTTCTGTATAGAAACGTTAACACAAGCTATATAAACTTTTTCAGCATTACATGAGGTATGTTTTAAAACATTTATTGCTGCATCAATGTTCTACATGTTCTTTACATGTTTGATGCTATCAAAATACAAGCGAAGGGCTACACAGACAAAACTTGAAGCTTATTCTATTAAAATGAAATGGAGAGCTTTCTTTTTTAACATTGGCTCTTTCACGTTTGCAGCTTATTTTTTCTTAAGACACAATAAACTGTGTGAACCATATGGTGAGTGTTAGTTCATGACTAAAATTAAATAACTATAAAAAACATATCATTATTGCTGGCTCTCTTTATTTCAGTTTACTCGATGTTTGGGCTGTCTGAATATGTTGTTGTTATAAGCAATATAATTTTCCACATGACAACTGTATATGATCTCAGGAGGCTTTTCATCTATTTCTCTAGAAGCGGTTTTGTAATAGAATGACTCATGGTTGTTAATAATATTTTTTTAATTCAAGATGAGATTAAGGAGTATGTGATAAATCAAAGACTTTTAACATAACATGACTTTATTTAAAAAAAATACATATATAACAATAAACTGTGCTGTGACCCTATTAAATGGATACAGGTAGTTAAAAAAAACGCAATGAAAAAAAAACAGCTTATACTTTCTTAGAGTAAAATCAGACATATTTTATATACAATTATATGTATAAGCAAAAAATATAACATGTATTTAAAACAATAATAAATGTATATAAAAAATAATTAAATAATCTGGTTAGAATTTAACAACAGCTTATTTACAGAATAAAATATTAATGACATAGTAATGGAAATTGTCACAAATACATTTTTTATATAAAACATCTTATAAAAATATTAACAGATAAATTATTTAAATGAATTGATTCAAGTGTTGTGAGTTGAGAAATTATAACTATAGTAAATATTGGAAAAAAAAAAGTTGCACATACCAAAAAAGGTACAATAAAAGAAGAAAATATACTGTACATTATTCAAACTGTGTGAAACAAAAGTGTGTTAGTTAAATACCTATATGTAGTGTATGTAGTGTTAAAAAAAGAATAAATAAATATAGAACTATTTAAGAATATGCAAACCTTCCATTAGTTGTAAAAGTTGTTGGCAATAATTTTTTTAATTGCTTATAAATAAGGTCTTATAGTTTGAACTCTTGTTTCATTTTGTCAGCTATCATTTTAGCAATAGCCAAAGATGATGTAGCACCGGGAGAGGGGGCGTTCCGACAATGTAATACTCTACTTCCTATCGCCCCTGAACCAGGTTTGGAGTCAAACACAAAATCCTCTATTAGAGTGCCTAAAAATATATATTTTTATTAATTATATAGTTTTATTTAATAATATTGCATAATTTTTTTTATCATTGTGCAATAATAACTTAAATTTCAACAATAAGAAGAAGTGGTATTATTAATTTCCTCACCATCTTTCCCCATAGCCTGAGCTCGTACTCCGGCTGGACCCGACTCCACATCCTTAGTAGTAATATCTTGAATGTACTTCTGCAATTGCATCACTTGCAATGGTGTCATTAAGGATCTAGACATTTCTTTAAGTCCAAAACCTGCATATTTTAATGCCATTTTTCGGAATCCAGAAAAGTTTATAATTTCCTTTAATTCTTTAACATTTAAGTCAGTCCATCTGAAAAGGTAATTTCATTAAAATTTATAATTACATATAAAAACGATAAAAATTCATCTTGAGATAGAATTAAAGTTGTTTGAGATTAACAACAAATTATTTAGGAACTTACTTATAGCCTTCTTTACAGAATGCTAGAATTGCATTGGGACCTAAAATAACCCTGCCATCTATTCGTGGGGTAGCATGAACACCAAGGAATGGGAATCTGGGATCAGGGACAGGATATATATTTGCTTTTATAAGGTTACTCTTTTCAGGAACCAAATACAAATATTCCCCTCTGAAAGGTATTATTTTCGGTTCCTCCGGACAACCAGTCAGAACAGCAACGGTGTCAGATTGTAATCCACAACAAGTCAAAACATATTTGGCATGAATTGTTTTATCCTTGCTATCAGTGATAGTTACAGGATACTCAGCATTTTCAGATTCAAAAAACCTATTTAGTTCAAAATTGAGATAGCTATCTCCTCCACACTTTTCAAAATCACTAACATAACTGTTTGTAACAACTCCCCAATCCACAATCCCAGTATGTGGTGACCATATTGCTTGTAAGCCATTGCAATGTGGTTCTAACTCTTTAATTTCTTTTGAATCTAACAATTTCAGATCTTTGACACCATTTTTAACGCCTCGCTCATACAAGTCTAATAGTCTCCCAATTTCAGATCTGTCAGTGGCAACTATTAATTTTCCACACTTGGAGTACTTTATTTGTTTTTCATCTAAATATTTATACGATAAATTAAGACCTTCCACACAAAGTTTAGCTTTTAAAGAACCTGGTTTATAGTATATTCCAGCATGAATAACACCACTGTTATTTCCACTCTGATGAAAAGCAAAACGTTTTTCTTTCTCTATTAGAGCAATCTTTAACCCAGGATGTTGAAGAATTAGCTCTCTTGCAGACGCAGAACCGACTATCCCACCTCCGATTACAACAATATCGTAACATTTCTTTTTAATTTCACTGTACCTAGAAATAAATTAAAAAATAAATAAAAGGAAAATTAAAACCTTATTAATAAGGAAAATTTATTAATATAATCTTACATACCTACGAACTTTTGAAGCATATTTAGAGAAATGGTAACTGCTTAAAGTTAGCAGAGAAGCTTGTGACTTGCTTATTAGAGACATTGAATAAAAAAATGTATTAATAATAAAATGGACGATTTTGACTACACTTCACTTATTAAAAACAAATTACAATATTTAACATAACAATACAGTGATATCAAAAGGAGCAAGTTTTATTTACAAAACTACTTTATAAGTTTATGCACTACATTAGAAGAAATTGATAAGAAAATGACTGATAAAAGGAAAACAACAGACACAGACAAATATATATATTTTATAAAAATGTCAGTGTCAATGCCAAAAGACAAGGACTTCAATTCCAAAATAGAATAATGTAGGTCGTGATTGAAATACGATCCCATCCCACCAATATGAAAATCTAAATGTCTTTCTGTGTGAGTTTGTCAGTGTAATAAATAATTAACCTAATACTTAATACATTATATAATTTTTGTATATTTAATGAACGATACAATTAATACATTATCGCATTATAAATTATTTACACTGTACAGAAGATACAACCTGACAGTTTAAATTATAGTATGTTTACTAATGTTTTACAAGACGCTTTTAAATTTTCTTAGAAAAAATGGTATCTCCAAAATTTTTCTTAATTCATCATAACGAATACATATGAAATCCATAGAAATATAATTTAATTTAACATACATATCTATATCATAAAATAATGAAGGTTATGGAATAAAATCGCACGAAAACACTAATCATTATTATCTAGCTTTTCGTTCAAGATACGTTGCCAAATAGCCTATCTGAGCCCACTGCTGAGCCTAATCTCACGTGGAGAAGGTTTGAGCATTAATCACCACACAAGCTCAAGACGGGTTGGTAATGAAATTAAATCAAGATTTCCTCATCGTGTCTTCCTTCACCGTCTATCAGTGGTGTCTAAATACGCTTAGAAAGTACATATAATGACATAATAAAATATAACTTTTATAGGATTACACAGTTAAAGTAAAAGTATTTTTTTTAAATTAAAAAGTAGTTTTTAATATGGTAGCAATAGGTAAGTTGTGTAAATAACGAGAGTAAAATTCCCAACAAAATCGGTCCTGTCGTTCCTGAGATTTTTAAATTCAATAGTTACAGTCTCACTATATATAGGGTGACTGGTGAAATACTATCAATATTTAAGGAGAATACTCGGTACATGATTCTCATTCGAATTATGTAAAAAAAAATAGGTACTTAATTGTTGACCAAATTTCCGTATAAATAAATAAAGTGTGGACACGTTCCAAGTGTTCCAAGTGTGGACGCGTGCGGCGGCGTGGTGTTGTATCAGCACGCCGCCGCACGCGCGTGTGTGTGTGTGTGTGTGTGTATACCTAATCTGTAGGGTGTTCACACGATGCGTAATTAATTACATAACTTTTGGTTAACTTTACTTAGAAGTTTATTAATATTTATGTTATATTAATTTTTATTTTGTCATATATGATCGTCAAATATCACGTCCTCAAGTATCGATAGTAATTCACCAGTCACCCTGTATACGTAAAACGTTCAGATGGATACCAAGAAAATTCTTTCTTGGAGTTAAGTATACATGTTCATTAACATAATAATCTACCTGGCAATTAATTTTGTCTTAAAAATTTAAGTAAATTCTGATTACAAAATGAAATCTGTAGTTTTTGGAGGTCATTGTTAAGATTGAAGATCTTCTTTGAAAAAGAGTCCACCGGGAAGTGAGAAAGTAACAGAACTTTTAAGTAAACAATTTTTATTATCTTGATTTAAATATTGGAATTTGTTTACCTTTTCAGTTCCTAAGTTTTTGTTTTGGATTCTTGGCATCAAAGTTTTACATATTAGCGTTATATAAAAATATGAACTATGTATATAATAATTAAATCGTATATCAAATATTACATTAATAAAAAGTATTAGTGCTATTATCCTTTTTATAGTAAGCTGTAAAAAATTAAGATTTCAGTGACAGTGTAGTCTGTGATGCACAGATAAGTCGCATTAGTATATATTATATAGTTATTGAAAGAAGATAACTGTCACTAAAGTGAATGTAAATGTTTTTGTTTGAAATCGAAAAAGACAAGATCTTAAACTTGACCATAATCTAGTTTTATATTGATAAGCCGTAAAGGAAACAGAAGTATGGCCATAGCTCAATACAATTTAGTTTGGAACTCCTATAAGAACAACATTTGTAATGGATTCGCTATGTTGCAGCAAGTGTGTATTTTTTTTTCTAGAATATATATTTTTTAATTTTATGAAATTTAATAAATTTGATTGGGATGATATTGACTTAAAAATTTGTTAAGTATATTTCAAAAAATAATTTTGTAGAAAGCAGAGTTTGTGGATATGACACTAGTTGCTGGTGGTCATTTAGTTAAAGTCCACAAGAATATTGTAGCCCTGGCGAGCCCTTATATAAAGCACATGATACAATCAGCACCATGTGAACACCCTGTTATATTTTTAAGTGTAAGTAGTATAATATTGTTTTTATTGTCTTAATTAATTTTTCTTTTTGGAAATTTTATATTCATTTAATGTGAGAATATTTTCTTATTAGTACACTAATAGAAATATTTCGATAGTTGTTTATTTTTTCAGAGTATCACTCATGAGATTCTGTCATATATTTTAGAATATATATACACTGGTGAAGTTAATGTAGAAGTAGATAAAATCAAATCTTTTATAAATGCAGCTACAGAGCTTCATATTACAGGCATCAGTAGTGATCTACCACTTGGGGTGAGTAGTAACAATATTGTGTTATTCCATATAAATTTTAAAAGAACAAGTAATGTAAAATATTTGTTAGACTGTGACATGACAAGGCTATTATTTAATAATACTTCTTGCAGACTTCTGAACAAATTAATTCCACATTAGATAAATCCAAGAACACAGAGGAAGTCAGGTGATTAAATGAAATGATTATCTGGATTCTGTGAAATGTGATCGAATCTATCAAAAAATATTTTTTAAGGTCTGAATGTGCTGTGAACAACCATAATAAGAAGGATTTACCTACAATTGATCTAAGTTTTAATGAAAACGCTGTTGTAAATCAATTGGAGACAAATGCAAATAGTTTTAGTGAATGGTTACAAGATACTGATTCACAGAATGCAAATTTTGAATGCAATCATTTAGAAAATAAGACAGATACATTAGACAGTGTTAATGTGGAACAAACATCGCAACCAACATCCAAAGTTGAAATTAATATAAATGGTATGTTATATTTGTATAACAAGATATATTTTTGAAAGGAACTATTAGTAGATAAAAGTTTTATAAAATATACAAAACCATAACTTTTGTCTAAGAATCTGTTTGTATTTGTTAATGTTTTATGTCATTTTTATTTCATAAATCTATTTAATAATATTAATATTTTTTTAGGATCCATTCCTCAACAATACACAGTGTCAAAGAGAGGATCTTTGCAATTAATTCTAAATCGGTTCATTTATTGCATGCATCATCAGTCTTTGGGTGGAAAGAAGAGAAGGTGGCGATGCATAGACTATCGTTTGTTACATTGTCCAGCATACATTGACACAGTTAATGACCAAATAATGAATAGGTATTATTGAAACTTATATAAAAAATATTTGACACTACTTTTGCTTTGATGTTTAATGTTAAAGACCTTAATGCATTTTACATTCTAGAAAATTCTCTTAAATAAAAAAAATATATATATATATATATGTATATTTTTATTTGTTATTTAACTATAAAAATTTTGATAGTAGTATTTATTGGGCAATAATATATATTACATATATACAATTACGGTTATATTTCAGGCAAAATATTCATTGTCATCCATACCATGATGAAAAAATTATGAGGAATATTAAAAAGAATCTAGTGTTTGGTTCACTGAATGTTGCCATACAAAATTCTGGAAAATTACATGACACTAATAATGAAGAAATAATGGATGATAATGATTGAAATAGGTATAATCAAAAATAATATATGGATCCTATTTTATTTCCAAATAAATAAAGGTTAATGTCAATTCGTAAATTTATTTCTTGATTTGATTTATTTGTATTCCATGAGAAATAAATATGTTATTAATTAATATGTGTTATGACTATTCGTATATTCCTTTTTGTATACACATATTACACTCTCGTTAAGTAAGAGTTAGAACAAAGGGGCCGTTCAAGTATTACGTAAGCAGATTTATTACAATTATTTACCCCTCCATCCCCCTTGTCAGCAAAAGTAATCAAAGCTCTTACCCCCTCACCCCATGCTTACGTAAACATTTTCAATTACTCTATTTTTTTAATATAAGTCCAGAAAAAAAATATAATTGTATTTTTTTTATGGATCTACTCGATGTGACGATTAAAAATTAATAACTATCGATGACGTAATCGATACCTAGACTCCCCTACCCCCCATCTCATCCAAAATAAGCAAAGCAAAGACCCCCCGCCCCTCCACAGTGCTAACGTAATATTTGAAGGGCCCCAAATATAATGTGAACTTTAACTATTAAATAGTCGATAATGATCTTTTACGTGGTCGGCATTTTATATTGGCCAGACAGATTTGGTATATAACGGTAATCTAATTAGTTTCACACTTGACTCTGAATTCAGAGTCAAGTGTTTTGAAAATAAAGAAACAGATAATTTGAATCGATTTTGTAACATTATATGTTATTTCAGAACCCACATCCGTTTATTTGTAAAACTAACATTATTAATTGTTTATATTTATAACTACAAAACAATGAACAATATATTCAGTCAAGGTGAGTAGCAGATGACAAAATATATTGATAATCTTTAACTATATTATGTGAATGTCATAAACGTCAATATCAGGCTGTCAAAAATAAATGAGAAAATAATACACGAATGTAATGTCTGTGACATTTTAAATGAAATAAGCAAATTATTTATTTATTTATGTAGTTTATATCCATGTGAAGTAATCAAAATGGTACAGTCTCATTTTTCACTATCGTGGGATTCGTATAAGTCAAATCTGTCAACTGGATTCAGTGGTTTGCAACAGGTAAACAAACGAAATTTTGTGTTGAAAATATATGTGTAAAATTTTATTAAATATTATTTTTAATTTTACAAGAATGGGGAGCTTGTTGATATGACGTTGGCTGCTGATGGGCACTTTGTTAAAGTGCATCAGGTCCTAATAGCTTTGTCAAGCTCCTATTTAAAACAACTTATTTTATCAGCTCCGTGTCAACATCCGGTCATCTTCCTCAATGTAATGTATTTAAATTTATTTATTTCAGTAGTCAACATTAAATAAACTTTAGTAAATATTCTACAATTTCTTCAGTTACATTTTTCTTTGCAATGTCAGATCTTCCTTCAAACAGATTTGGAAAAAAAGTGTTAAACCTACAAATTTCCATTAGTTATATAATAAATACATATTAAGAGCTTGTATGAAGATTTATGTTAGCAAATGTTCATAATTAAGTTTTATGTATGGAAGTGCAATAAATTAAACCCAGTTTAATTCTTCATATTTCAATAGATATTACTTTCGTGAAATTTTACTGTCAACATTGCTGATATTTCAGAATGTGTCCAATACAACTCTAACATTCCTGTTGGAATATATATACACAGGCCAGGTATCGGTGCCTTCTAGTAATTTGTCAGCATTTATTGAAGCTGCGAAAGCATTACACATAAAAGGGCTCGAAAATGTTGTAAGTTAAATCTGTACCCTAATATTATAAAACAACTACACATCCTTACTTCAATTATTTAACAAAATAATAACATTTGTTTTATTTCATATTAATTCCAACAAAAGGTTTAAGTATTAATTCATGTTTTTTTTGTAGGAGGACAATAGCAAAGAAAAACAAACACCAATTAATGTAGATGAATGTAATATAAGCTCTAATAGAATTGCTGTTAAAAGAAAATCCACAGCACCTGATCAGGTAAATTAAATATTTAAAATATAATTAATAATTTTGCAAGCTTTTCTTCACTTTCTGCCTGTAAATTTGTAAATTAAAGAGAAATATATTTTTGTTTTCATCTTTGAATAAATACTCATGCCCCAGTAAATATATCAATGAGAAATGATTTAATAAGCAAAGGAATAAAAGAAATCTTATATTCCTTTGCTTCTGAAGGAAAATTTTGACTGCAAAGCTTTTTTTCTAAATTTTCCAATATGATTTTTTTAGTTTCATTTACCGGCCACAGCAAGAAAAGTTCTAGTAAAATATGGAGGAGCCACATCCACTGTGTGAGTCTACGTATTCTTATTATAACATTATTAAGTATGTATTTATATATACAAAGTAAAGCTTAGACCCACAAAAAGAACTTTACTTAAAAATATACTATAAAAAAAGAATTCATATTATTAAAAAGTGATAAAATAACAAGCATTTACAGTTGTCCCTAATTCTCCTCGAAAATACGGTTATTTTACTCATTCTGAACAAACTACTTTAAGGTTTGCACTTTGCACTATTCAAAAAATCCTGTTGTAATATACACTAACATATAAATATAACTACTTATTAGTTTTTAATGTTAGATAGCTTGATTTAAATCTTTATGTGACAATATTTTGTATGTTATGATATCTAATAAGACTTATGTTAAATTTGTAATATTGTGCAAACAACAAGATTGAAGTACATGATGGTCTTATAAAGCTGTTACGTTTCTTGAGGAAGTATATTACTATCGTCTTGTGGCATTGCCAAAAGTAACTTACTTTAGTTCATTTAGAACTTACTATAAGAGTTTGAATTAGATTAGTTAATTTTGCAATTTAAGGCATTTCAATTATTTTGACAAACATAGTATTCTAATTCATCTTAACACATAAGATTGTGAAGCAAGCTTGCAACATTACAAGTCACTTGAGTTTGTTTATGCTTTTTGTGTAGATTTTATTAACACATTCACAATAGCATCATAGACTTAAAAGTAATTTAGATGATTCATTGACTACATATAGATTTTTTATTGTTTACATTAAGTAAATTCCCTAAATTATTTGCAAAGTTTTTAAGAAATATATATTTTAAATATCGTAACAAATGTAGTTACCATAAATTTTGGTAGGTATGAAAATGTTTTAAATTTTAGTATATTGTCAATAATTTCATAACTAAAAATTACTAAATTATTTTGTGTTAATTTTTAGAATTGTGGAAAAGAAGAATCTGAATGAATCTATGGATAATGACGAAGTACACAACACAATGGACCATACTGTACTTGAAACAGATACTCATTTGAATGAGGAAACACAGAAGGATAAAGACAAAGGGGCAGTTCAAAGTTAGTATTAAACAATATTCATTATTTTTTTTATGTCAAAGGTGGCAAAAAGAGCAGACGGCCTACTTGGTGTAAGGTTGTACCGTCGCCCATGGACATCGCAACATGTTTGTTGCGGATGCGTTGCCAACCTTGTTTTTTTTTGGAATAGGGAGGGGTGGGAATAAGAAAATGGTAGGAAAGGATGGGAAATAGGAAAAGGGCAACCGGCTCTCTCACTCATCGGACGAAACGCAGCCTTTAAAGGCTACTTCACGCCGATTTTCTGTGAGAAGGTGGTACTTCCCCGGTCGAGCCAGCCCATGTTTGAGCTGTAGTAACTTGGCCACAGCTAGGCTCTACCACCTTTAAAAATTATTTTATATTTTACATCTGTAACATTACATAATTATAGTTTTTTTTTTAATTTAGAGTAAACTTTCTTCCCAATTTTATAAGAAATATATTATCTGTACAATCTCTATGATATACATAGAATAAAATTCTCTACTTAGCAATATCTCGACTTGAGTTAATTACTTTCTATCATATTCTAAATATGTACTTGCTTTCTTCTATTTTAACAATTGAACTTTAATTAAATCATAGTATTTTTAGCCCATATTTAAAAATTTTATATTTTAATGTTAAAAGTATTTTTCAAGACCTCATATAATTTTGATATTTCTTTTTTACAGTGGCCTCATCAAATTTACAATATACGGTTTCAATACGGGGTTCCCTACAAGTCATATTAAACAGATACATATATAATTTACACTCGTCTCAGTCAACCGGAGTACGTCGTTGGAGATGCTGCGACTATCGTAATAAGAAATGCAGCGCGTTTGTAGTCACACAGGATAATGTTGTTTTAAACAGGTGATTTTTTATTATTATTTAAACAATAAATATATTTCTTTTATGGCAACATTTTTGCTCAATTTTATACCATATATTTTGTTGTTTTTATTATTATTTAAACAATAAATGTATTGTTTACTGGCAACATTGTTTCATATGTTTTGCACTGAACTGTCAAGTTATAGAATTGTATTTTTTTGTAATGCTTTAAGTCGAAATTATGATTTTTATTTGTTGCGGTTGGGATGTCCGAATATCGAGTTCGGAATCGTTCGCCGCTTGAGGGGTGGATCGGATCGGATGATAATTCCTCCAATAGCAGGCGGCCGGTGATCCGATCCTCGGGATCCGTGTTCGTGGCGGGTCGTATCGTCGTTTTAGAATGAAACCACAACTTGTTAAGTAATGGCGGCAGAATCACTTGGTTTGTATGACCACGTGGTCCCTAGTCACTATCTTGAAAGCGCGGTTCTTCTTTGTTCGGGTTCTTCACTGTTTTTCAAAGCGTATGAGATGTCTTCACGAGATCTGTCGAAAAAGGGTAACTCCGTTACATAAGATGGCACCGAAGCCCCTCCTTTCGGTACGGATTGTATAGCCCGTATAATCGCTTCTGCCAGGTCTTTAGTTCCGGCGGGTTGTTGGTCTGGCTTGACCGCTGCCGACGACTGCGTTTGGATACACTCTTTTTCGGGAGTTTCCATAAGTTCCTTCGGGAACGCGTGGGCATCGTGCTCCTTCGGGGGCACGGTATCGGCGGTCTCCTCCAGCCATTGACGAACGTCCGCCTCTTTATTCCTCGGGTCTTCAGCGTCTGATTCATCCTCTATATCACTATCTTGCAAGCGCGGTTCTTCTTTGTTCGGGTTCTTCACTGTTCTTCAAAGCGTATGAGATGTCTTCACGAGATCTGGCTGGTGACTACTGATGATGACTACTGATAACTGATGACTGGTGATGACGACTGATGATGACAATTGACGACGGATGACGACTGACTGACTACTGACGACTGGTGATGACGACTGACTGACTACTGACGACTGGTGATGACGACTGACTGATGACAACTGACTGATGACTACTGATGACTACTAACTATTCGACTCACAGCGGCAGTTTTTTATATACGTTGCGCGCGCGCACCTAGTACCGCTGTGAGCCAGCGCGGATGCCCCGCCCCCCGCCAAGTGACCCTACCGCCGTTCGTTTATTGGTCAATACATTTATCTTAAGTTTGACAATAGTATACTGCGCTCTTGCAAGAGACGCTCATTAGGGATTTTTACACGTGTTGCGCACCTGCAAGAGTCGCTTTCCTTTTATTAATTATACAATACAAATATTAGCCTAATTCCTTATTTCTTACATTTCTTATCTCTTAAATCTATTATTAACTAAACATCAGTTGCGTCGCCGACATTATTATTACTTTATCAATGTCAACAAAAGTTATGTTTCTAAAGCCGTCATCTTTCCAGATTAGTAAAATTAAGGATAGATTTGTTATTTTTTTCATCTCGAGTTTATATATGTATATTTAGCATTGTAAAAATTACCACTGTCTTGTACTAATTCATTTTTATTACAATATAATTTACTTTTTTTATTCTAACAGAGCGAATCCCCACAACCATTCGTTTCACGATAAGAAGATTCTGGATAAAATTGAAAAGAACGCTATCTACACGGCCATAGACGACGTGAAAGGTGTCATTGACAAGGAGAAGCCCAAAGACAATCTGCCAATGGAAAGCGAATTTGTAGGACTTTCATTTAATACGGAATTAGACGATCTAACGAATGATCCGAAAACAGTGTCATCGTATAAAGTAACTTAATTATAAATATTTAGAAAATAAAGATTTTAGAGCTTATATGTGTCGTTTGGTATTTTATTTTATTATGGTTTGGTTCTATACTATTCAGTGTGCTAATTAATTTATATGATAAACCGTAATTATAAAGGTATTTCCTTTTTTAACTGTGAAATTTTAGTGCTAGTTTCTTAACAACTATTATATTAACAACTATTTGAGCATTAAAGAATTCAACTAAATTCTTTATGGCAAATATTTTCAAACTAGTAGGTCTATGTGAAGTTAATTGGACATTTGACAAAATAGAATCTAGCTCTAAAAATCCTCATAATTAAGCCTTGCTGTAAAATATGTACTACATACTCACGAAAAAGAAACAGACATATGTACATCAGTATTATAAAAACCTTCCGATAACAATAACAGTGTCTACACTGTTAAAAATTGTCTACAATTTTTAACCCTGCACTAATATGGTAAGGAGAATCGTAATTTATTTAATACAGTTATTAATAGTTTATACCAGATATTCACATAATGAAGAATGCTTCTTAACCTACCTGTTTCATCGGAAAGTTTGTTTATCACATTACTTTCATAACTCATCTAAATGAAATATAAAAATTCTGAATATTTTTGTCAAAGTCACACTTACAATATATGTAGTAGTATTTTTACTGTTCCTTAACTCTATTTGAGTAATCACATTCAAATATCTTTCAAAATCTGGCAGACCTTTTATATGGTTATATCTCAGTTTGTAGTTTCATTGCTGCACGTGAAACTCATTTCATGAACTAAAAAGCGTTCTTGTGTATGGAAATATTTCAAAACTGGTGGTTTTTTTTAATTCATTTGACACTCGGTGGTATGTGTTCAAGGAGCTGTTGCCACACAAATCAAAGGGTCGCATTAAATTGTGTAATATAAGCCAGTCGATGTCCACACTGAGAGTACTATTTAAAGTGTTGTATGTAGTATAAATCTATACTAGTGTAGATTTTATTGCTCGACTCATTTGTTCGATTTAATACTGTTGAATTTAAGCATGATGATTAATACTATAACCTTTTCCACGGAAAAAAAAGCTTTTGATCAGCTGTGGACTCCGATAGACCGATGGTGAGCATGATGATGATAACTGTCATTTTACCCGCTTTAAGGTGGAAATGATGCCAGTTAGAGCATCTTTGAAATCACTCCAGCCGTTTCAAAGATTATTTGTAACAAACATACGAATATTTTTTTTTTGTCACATATAAGTATATGTACGTGATGTATATTATACCATGTTATGTTAATACTGTGTAAATGCATATGTATTTTTTCATATTAACTTCATCTTTTATTTATTTCCATTGATTTTATGTATTTTTTATGACGATTAGAGAATATTTTGCAGTGTTATTTCGTTAGAAACTGGACGTAAAACAATTGAATATTGCTACAGAGATATAATATTATTCATTCATGTATATGCAAGTATTCATTTAGAATAAATTATAATTAAACTTATCAGTGAATTAGTTAATTGTCAGTTTAGTATAACAACTCGATAAATAACGACACAATGATTGGTTTTGTGTACCATTTATATGTACTAGTGAGCATGGTTTTGTGCAATCCTATACAATATAATTATTCATTACAAGATTACAGTAATAATCCCGCGGTCAAGAAATTACAGGAATATATCAGGATAGACTCGAGCCGTGAAGAAAATGTCGGTAAGGCTTAGGTATCTGGTACAAATGTTTATTTTTTACTATAAAGATAGCCATTTTAAGGTTGAAAAAATAAAAAATATTTTCACATCTCGTCTGCCCGTGATCACGGTTGCTGTAAAGCAGCCGAAACGTCGGGAGTATGTAGTCTATAATCAAAAATAGAAATCGCGTACATCCGAAAAATATAAGTTTCTTTTAAATATTTTTTTATATACAAATCTAAGAGCAGATAGTACTAAATTATAAGATTTTAGTTACAAAATGTGATGTCACTGCAAGACATTTGTTTATTTAGGTGATATCTAAATTACTTATTCTGTCAGATTACCGTTGCCTAGGGTTTTGTTGTATCATTAATAAGAGATTTAATTCTATGTGTTTAAGATCCCTTATTCACTGTCGACTGGCAACGTTGGAACTACTTCCGGAAAATTCCCTTTCGATAAAAGAAAAATTAAAACCTAAAAAAAAATTAAAAGATACCTATCCGCCAGTGACATTCATGTTAAGATTGGTCCAGCCGTTTTAGAGATAAGCCTTAACAAATAGATAGACTGACAGAAATTAAAAAAATTATAATTATGCAGGTATATTTACGTTCATATAGTCTTAGTGAAAAATTATTAATTTGCACTTACAAACAGACGATTTAATTTTATGTACTAGTACATAGTATAGAGTGTAGGGCATAGATAATTAATTATAATTCAATTCAAATATATGGGTACGTATGTTGTGATTCTGATACTGGTACAATTTTCTTTATCACATCAATAATTATTATCTATGACAGGGCCGGCCAAGCCATGGCCCGCGGGCCGCGTGCGGCCCGCGTTTCGGAACATTGCGGCCCGCAAAATCTTTTTTATATATTCTTTGTTTAAAAACATCAATGAGCAAATAATTTTTTCGCGATGAAATTCAAATTTTTTAAAGGGTATGTTCGATCACGATGCACACATCATTTTTTTGGACCACCTCAAATACATAGACGAAATAATCATCGAATTCGAGCGGCGTTTTGCAGATTTTCAAAAAATTGAGAGTGATATGGCACTCTTCACTAATCCATTAACGATTGTAGTTGAGAGTGTGAAGATTGATTATCAACTAGAACTGTGTGATCTGCAAACAGACCCCTTTTACAAGGGCAGAACAAAAACAGGGATAGATTTTTTAAGCTCCTCGCTGAACGTTTACCAAAACTGGCGAGTTTCGGGCAAAAAATGGGCTCGATGATGGGCAGTACCTACTTTTGTGAGAGTGCATATTCAACAATGAAGCTAATTAAATCGAAATACAGGTCTTCAATGACAGATACTTTACTTAAACATGCACTGCTCCTAGCTACTACTAATATTGAGGTTGATATTGACAAAATTATAAAAGACAAACTAATGGAAAAGTAGTTAATAAAATTACGATATTATTATTACGAGCATTTTCTTTTTATAAATATTTTGCGGCCTACCAATGTATTTAATCAATTTTATTGGCCCTCGGTCCCATCTAGTTTGGACACCCCTGATCTATGACATACATTCTATTAGTTTGAACCAATATTTAATTAAGGCGTTCTTTAAAGCATATTATTCATAGGTGTAGTGAAAATTTGCCAATGTCTTGTGTCCCGCAGATGTATTGTATGTTTATACAAAGTTCTTGTCAATTTTTACTTTTGAAAAATAAAAAAATATAATAGAGTTATACTTGTTAATAAGTAAATATAAATGTTAAGTGTAGAGGATATTAGGTGTTTGAATTGAATTAAATTTCTTAAATATGATAACATTATTCATACTATTAATTGAATTAGTACAGAAGTACATTGAACTTACATATATTAACATACTCTCTGTGCATGTAAGCTATGTATTACTATATCCTAATTACGAATATGCCTTGTTAAACTCGACATGGACAGCTTCCAATTCATGAATTAATATGATAGTATCTGTGTAGGTATAAGAAAAACTGCTAACTAGACAGTTAGAAGCTTTTCTTTGCATTCTTTTTACTTATTTTATTACTTGTATTATTCTATGTACTCTGTATGCAATTAAGCAGTGCAAACTGATGTTAAAAGCTCAATTTAGTATTATTCGTTTGAAAAAATAAAAGTCACATAAATCTTCCACAGAACTAATAGTTGACTTCTGGCAGAGGCAGGCAGAGGATGTTGGTCTTTCATTTTCGGTGTACAGACCAGCTGTGTTGCCTATATGTGTACTTACCTTAATAGGTAGTAAGCCTGACCTGCCTAGCATTATGCTAAATCATCACGGAGATGTGGTCCCAGTATACCAAGTATGTATATATAATATAGAGCTTACTATAGCAATATGATTAAATTTATTTATACATTTTTACAAACTATGTTTGAATTATCAAATTCAAGTGTTTGTTGGTGTGTGTACAGGTGTGTGTGTGTGTGAGTACTTGATGCGTATGTGTGTGTTGAATGTTGACCTAAAATAGAAATCAAAGCATCAGTTTCAATAACAATTAAAACTATTATATTGTTTTCATTTGTCACGACAATCTTATAACTACAATACATAACTGTCAATATCAATCACTGAAATGTTAAACATTTTGGTATTATAAAAACTGTCACTGAATGTCAGTCGTGGCGTGACATGCGGTACCCTGGAGTTTACACATTCGAATCCTTTTGGAATCAAATGTTATTAATAAAATCATTTTAATATTTAGTCAAAGGTTATTTAATACTAAAAACATAATTAAAAAAGGCATGACATATTTTTAAAAAGTGAAGCAGGTACTTAAGTATAAATCTGTTTTGAAATGAATATCTAATTAAATAAAATAGAGAATTATAATGTTATCACATAAAGTTAAAAAAATTCTTTACATTATTCAAATTGGTCTGTATCTTAATAAGTAAAGTATTAATAAAGATAATAATAATTTATTATAATAAACTACTAAATCTGTTTGCGTCATTTTAATAAGGCTATTTTCATGTAGAGCATGTGGAAGTACCCTCCATATTCGGCACATATTGATGAAAACGGAGACTTATATGGACGAGGAGCCCAAGACACGAAAAGTGTTGGAATACAATATATTGAAGCTGTCAGAAGAATAATTAAAAATAATGTAACGTTAGAAAGGACGTTGCATCTTACTGTTATGCCAGGTACGGAAATGGATTATTTTTTTAATAAATTATTACGAAAAAAAAACTTGTATTATCGTAGAGATCACATTATGTTTTTACTCTCTATTTACAAATTTGAATTCATCAAACTAGATAGATATCAATTTTTATTTTAAAATATATTATGTGTCTTCTTCTCCTGCCTGGCAATTTCCCAGCTTTAGCCAGGATCTGCCTTACATGTTGTGAATAGTTTTGGCTAATTGTTTTTACGACCGGCCGCCTGCCTGACATCAACCCTCATTGGGAATGCATCAAATCAGTGATGTCTAAATACTTTTAGAAAGGACATATGAATCGGAAAAATCAAATTGGTACTTGCCCGGACCATGATCGAACCCGCGCCCTCATGCATGAGAGGCGGGCTTTTTAACCACTAGGCCACCACTGACTTATTATGAGTACTTTTAGTTTCAAAAGTGGAACTTTATTTAAAAGAAACAAATCAACGTGAAATCGGTCTATTTAATTACAATTTACAATTAAACAAAAAGTTCTACCTAATACAAATACTGCGAACTTCAATAATTAAATGAGTTTAACACAATTAACAAATACAAAATGGCTTACGTGACCCAACAACGGCCAACACTGATTATCACTAAAACGTCCGTACACTACGAGAGCCCGCCGAGAGGTGAGCCTGATTCTCTGTTTAGCTAGCAGCTAGCATTGAGTGACGCCATGGTGACGCCTACTTCGATCACATGTGGTACCAGCGAAGAACGGCGCCAGACCGTCGCTACTCAAGTGCACACCATGTGTTGTCACTTGTCAGCAACTCACGAAATTCCTTACAGTACATATATACAAATAATATAAATTATTTTTCACAGATGAGGAATACGGCGGTAGCAAAGGTATAAAAGCTTTTATGTTGACGGATGATTTTAAATCATTAAACATTGGGTTCGCTTTAGACGAAGGATTTACTTCTGAAGATGACGCAATGCTCGCGTCTTATCAGGATAAGAGACCATTTCGTAAGTTTTATTTCATATAATGTTAAAAAAACACAACAGATAGTCAAAATCAGCAGACAGGTTTTTCAAATTTTTCTATCTCTTTGAAAATGTTTACAACTTACAAATATAACCATCACTTCTAACATGTAAAATCTATGATTTGTTCATATATTAACGACAAAATAGGTCTTTAAAAAATTTGTTATTAAAATATATGAGAAAAGTTTTTTCTTTACTAGAGGTGCGATTCAATATTGTCGGCCAAGGTGGTCATGGTTCAGCATTGGTGAACGGAAGTGCTATAGAAAAGGTAATGTTTCTAAACTTATAAATATTGATTAAATATTTGCTGAACCAATTTATATAGGGTTGGATAAATAATAAAAAATAATAAATTGGAATAAATGAAGTGATGGTATTCTTCTTTTATTCGAATGTTATGTATTTAAGCTTGTGTATTAAATCTAAAACCTATACGGGTAGATCCAAGTGGTCCAATAAATTAGATCCTATTAATTGGGCAACTGTGAAAACTAAGGAAAAGTTAACGTACGGTTGTTAGGAACTGTTGCACACACAAATTAATATTTTTTTCTTATACAACTTAAACATCAGAATAAGACATAGCCTATCAAGATGTAACATTTGTATTGTGTATGAAGTACCACCATAGATGTCGCTGCAAGTTGTGTTGTCACGTCATGTATGTGTTTGTGTAATGTGTTTTTCTAACATTCATTTCTCTGTGAATTAAATTCTGGAGTCCAAGTGGACGAAATTTTGTGCGAAAACTGTTTCATTATATTTTAGAAATATGTAAACATTAAATATACTTTTATATGATTATTTACTAAAATATTTCATACAGATAGTAAATAATGTCAACAGTGTATAGTGGTAATTTTTCAATAATTTTGTTTATGATATATTGACAAATATGCTTTTAATAGAGTAAATGATTCAGTGAGGAATAGCTTGTGATCTTGCATCACATATCTATACTAATATTATAAAGCTGAAGAGTTTGTTTGTTTGTTTGTTTGTTTGTTTGTTTGAAAGCGCTAATCTCCGAAACTATTGGTTCGAATTGAATAATTCTTTTTGTGTTAGATGGTCCAGTTATCGAGGAAGGCTGTGGGCTATATAACATCACGCTACGACCAATAGGAGCAAAGATATAGTGGTAAAAGTGTAAAAAACGGGAGAAATTATTTCATCTTCGAAGCCTTCCTTTGCGTGCGCCGTGAAAACGGTTCAAGATACACAAAAAATATGTATTAAAGAATAATGGCTCTTTTAATGATCTAAAAAACAGTCCGCGACAGTATATGTCTATCTTTTAAGATTAACTCACAAAAACCGTTTTTATGGTACCTAATTTGGTCGAAATAATTTGTTTAAGTTGTATCAACATACTAATTCATATTAATCTTTATTCTAATAAACAAATAAATATGTTCTTGGTGAAGAGTACTTCATTGTGAATAATAAAAACATAGGTTTTATCCTGAAAATTCTACGGGAACTCGATCATTCCGAAAACCCCGCAAGAACGGGAACTATGTGGGAAGAACCAAAAATCTGCCGGAAGTCATTATTCCACGCGGACGTAGTCGCGGCAAAAGCTAGTAATATATAAGAAGCGTTTACAGTCCATCCTATCGCGTGCAACATTTTTAAATCACAATTTGAGAAACCGCGTATGTAGTTTGATAATACAAACTTGTGATAAGGGTACGGGACATTTTCAATACAATAGCCAACAAGTGACGTAAATGTGTTTGTCTTTAACTTTTACATGTCTTTTGTACATTGGTAGTTAGGTAGATGGCGTTTTAATTCAATAAATTATATTTTATTTTAAATTTACCTAATCTGTGTCTTTGTTGTTTGCTTCAATATTTTATTATGTATGTATTTTGTTATATATAGGTATTACCTTGTGTTTTTGCTTATATTTTTTTGTTTTAAGGTGCAATATTTACTGAACACCGCCTTAGAATTCAGAAAGGAACAGTTGAAAATAAGAGACGCAACTACAAAACTCGATTACGGATCATACACTACTATTAATATTAATATGATTGAGGTATGTATTCATTTCATATATATTTGTATAAGTTAAGAAATAATTTTATTTTTTATTTATATTTCTTATTGAGAAAATTATAGCAAAATGTACAATACAACATTTTAAAGGATATTTATATAAAGTTTGATTTTTTTTTAAGAAGTTCCAAAAAATATATTTTAACTAATCTTAGAAATAATAAAATAATAAGAAATGCTGACTTGGACATAAAATTCTGTTGATTTTTTGAATTTTTAAGTGGAGTCATGTCAACAGTTTATTTTTCGATTATTTCTTATATACACGTGTTTTTAATGTCACCTTGCAAATATGACTTTTTTAAACTAGACACCAATTTTTTTAAACGAATCCAATTTTTTTTAATTTAAAGTTAAATTCAAATTTGTTTTTTGAACAAACTTTTTTGATAAGGTTTTTTCATACAGGGAGGCGTTGCTCCGAATGTAATTCCTAAAAATGTTAGTATAGTTATGGACATACGATTGGCAACATCAGTGACTGCCACAGACATGCAAGCTTTGGTAAAATAAATATTAATGATTTAATATATCTCCTCCACTCTAGACAACACTGGTAGAATCATCTACATATACTATTGGACATGCCTTAGAGATGAGAATTGTGGCACTCCGAAAGAAAGAAAGGAAACAAAGTTTCGGTCTATCTTTATCTCTCTCAAAAGTTATGAGCCCCTTCTGGATAATTTATATGCCGTGCTATCTATGAGGAAAGAGATAGTGCTAGACCGTAAGCATAGGCTATCTCTCTCATTCTATTCAAACCAAAAAATTACTGCAGATAATACGCATATGGCACGTCCATTAGCATTTGTCGATGGGTAGAATATACTTAGCACGTCTTTGCACAGAAAACGCTATACGTATTTTAAACAATCAAACAATGCCAATTACGCATCACCTACATTTATAAATATTGTTTAAAATAAAACTACTTGAACCGAAACTTTTTCAAACGAACATTATTAATCTTCTTCGACATTAACAAATCTTATCAAATTACCACATGACAAATAAAATATATGTCTTTTAATAAATAAGTTACTGCCAAAATATTTGTTTTTTTTGTCTTTTTTTAGTTGGAGTCCTGGTTATCAAATCTCGGTGATGATTGCACCATGGAGTTCCTAAGACGAGATGAGTATTCACCAGCGACAGCTGTCGATAGCACCAATCCATTCTGGATAGCGATGAAGGATGCATTGAATAATCGGTAATAATTACTATATTATTATAATTTAAAAAAAACTTATTTTACATATCAAATCGATTATCAATATTATAAAACTAATGTCTTTTGTTTTGGTATATAATTAAATATGAATATCGTCCTTACAAATTCCTTTGGTCCTGAATATTGTCTAAAGAATAAAATTTAAAGTCCGTTACTATTTGAATTGAAGTCAGTGGTGGCCTAGTGGTTAAAGGGCCCGCCTCTCGTTGCCGAGGGCGCGGTTTCAAACCTGGCAAGTACCAATATGATTTTAGACATCACTAACATACCTGGAAACCTGGACTTATATGTAGTTTCACAATTATAAGTTTGAAATCACCAACCCGTCTTGAGCAAGCTTGGTGATTAATGCTCAAACCTTCTCCATGTGAGAAGAGGCCTTTGCTCAGCAGTGGGCTCTGATAGGCTGATGATGACTATTTGAATTAAATATTAAGTAAAACTTCTCACAAGTAATAGTCTTTTCAACCTCATCATCTCATTCCACTGCTGAACTGAGGAAAATTCCTTATGAAGTAAAATCTTGTTATTCTTTATGATATATGTAGTTAAAATGTAATTGAAGTAATAAAAGTAATTAATTATTATTAACAAAATATAATTGTTACTTTTTTGACTATATATAAACCAAACTATCAGTATAGTTAAAAACTGAATTAAACTGAAATGAAGAACTAAAAGAAGTGCAAATAAAAAAACTATAAAAAAAACTTTTTTTCTACTCTGCCAATACCACACATTAATTAGTTTACTTTAAAAATAATAATTATTATTATTGTTAAAAATATCCTTTCTTCTCATTGTATTTAACATAAAAAGATAGAATACAATCCAGATACGAGTGCAATTATATCAAATTACTAATTTATATTTTTTTCAGTGGCATCACAGTCATACCTGTAGTTTTACCAGCTACATCGGACATGTTGGTTTTACGAGAGAAGTTCTCCATACCAGCCATTGGATTCGCTCCCAGAAATAATATGAAAAATAAAATTCACGACGCCAACGAATACATACCTGTTAGTAACTTCCTCAATGGAATCGATATTTATTACGATTTAATACAAAAACTTGCCAACATAAATCAAAATAGTTGACGTATTGACAATAAAACTTTCATCCAATGTAAAAGCTATAGAATTATATTTAAATGTATATTGTGATGTAATAATATAAATTTGTGACGTAAATTACGCAATAAAATTAATGAAAATTATGTACTTATTTTATTTTTATGACATAATTAAATGAGATCAAAAGCGAAGTGCGAATTAATTGGCGCGGCTCGTTTCATTTAAGTTGATACAGACGGCTGTACCAACTCAGGCACTTCTCAGTAATGGAGCTCCTTCCGTACGTGCCCTAACATTTTTAAAAGGACTTTTTCGCGAACCAGCGCACCCTGTTTGCTGAACGACGGATTTGAGAATAGTCACGCTTTTAACGTACAAATGAATGCTCCGGAATAATCGGGATCTCTGAGCAAACCGTTTAGAGCTCGATTGAAGAACAAAAAAAAAATGCGCGTTTATTCAGAAAATTGCTGGGATTAGATGCGTGTTTTATTTACACGGATTTTTATAATATTATTATAATTTGATTTAATTGCATTAAAAAGGAGTATGAAGTATATTAAAGCTTTAAATTATGTTTATAATTTTTTCTATTCCATATATCTATTAGAAATAAAGAACTTTTAGATTGAATTATATCATAGTATTTGAATGTTTATTTTTATAATAATACCATTTAGCTGTATAATAATTATTATAAATATATATTTTTCGTTGCATAATGATGTCTCTTTAATTACACGCAGAATTATTTCAGACAATATTTGTATATTACGTTACATTTATTAAGTAGGGTTAAATAATAATTGAATCAGCAACCATTCTTACAGATGCACAACGGAGTGCTGGAGGCGTGGAAGCGTTAATTGAAATAAATTGTCACGGCTGAATGTCGCCGGCACATAAATCAGAGTGCCGCGGGCTACCAACTAAGTGCCTGCTACTAACGACATAGCAAATATACATACAGAGGAGACAGATATTTAATTATTACAGTAAAATCTAATATTATTATTAATATTACAGTCTTTTTTGCTTGTAATACCAACGTGAAATTAATTAATGAAACCTATATCTGATATATAATTATTTCGATTAATACTGAAAACGTAAATTTATTTTTTTAAATCTTTATTTAAGGACTTGTTTACAAAAGAGAAACATGTTGTCCTGTTTGGACAACTTACATATATCTTAACAACTACACATATATTCTTATATCATAAACAAAAATAATTACAACAAAAACAAACATAATTGAAAAAAAAACCCTAATTTTACGAATGTTATTAAAATTGTAATAGAGTTTTATTTATACAGAATTTAAATTAATTTTCAAATCTGTTTAATGCAATTAGTTCTATATAATAATAATTATTAATTTGTTTGTCGTGTCTGGTAGTTTTGTAGGTGTACACAGCAGAATGACGCTTTAAGAGACACCGCGAGACGAATTAATTTAAAGGCGTCGAGTACGCGATTTTTCGTCGCTGTACTCATTTGTCACCGGTGTAGGTGTACATCACACCGGTAAAAGCATTCATACATTCACTTGTAAAAACGGATAAGGTATACCGGTTGATGTATAGTAAATATTAAAAATAATATATAGAAGATTATATATTTTTCATTATTTTATTGATAGTTTTGCATTGTGACTCAAATTAATGCTGTTTCGTATTATACTTAATACTCAATCCTATTCTATTGCGTTCTATCTAAATATTTATATTGTTATATCACATTTACTTTTTTAATTCGTTTCAGAGACCTGAGTACGAGTTAAAAATGCCAAAATAATTGACGTTTTCTATTGCTGTAGGATAGAGAGATAAAAATATTAAGAAATCTTAAAATTATTTACGTTTATTTGAAAATGCAAAGCAGGGAAATTATTATTTTCATTAATTGGATGAGAATCACACATAGATATGTAGTAAAACATATCACGAACAATTTATGTAACGGTCCTCAAAGTACTCTTTATGAAATGTAATGGCCTTCATAAATATTAGCATTCATTGTACCTACGAAATATAATGATAATATTTGTACAATATCCATACACTGAAGAAAATTAATTAATATAAAATAATATACGAAGATTATTTAAAAGTATATAAATGTATCGAATAGATAAATCGGTGTATACTAAAACTGAACAAATCACGAATTTATTAAGTGCTCATCAGGAGTTGTTCAATTCCATAGACAAACAGGGTTTAAGGGGATACTTGCTGACAATGGTTCGGTCACGCGCTCTTTATTTACTAACCCGTGACACTAACCCCCGCCTTATTTTTATTCCATATGCTATTTGAAAGGAACAATTCCTTTACCAGCATTCGATTTAAAATTTCATAAGTGTTGTTTTAAAATAGCAGTTATTAAATTGAATTTTATGTTCTTTAACGTGGGATATTCACACGATGTATTGCATATATAATAATAATGATCTAGAATTGAAAATAATATGGAGTTAATTAAAATTAAATGTACTTGTGATTTTAATATGTTAAAATTATACGCGTTATTGAATGTAAGAAATGAAAGAATGAATGCATGAATGTAATGAACGATAGCCTGTCAGTTGACTCATACTAATTTAATAGTTATATTTATAAATATAATATTAATTGATTATCTATTCTAATAGTATCTATACAATACTAATATGAACACAATGTGATTCTTTAAGTACTTCTAAAATAATGCCCAATTAAGTTATTTTATTGGAATTAACTGTATGATTCAATCTATACATTTCCACACTAACCCCTCAAATTAAGGTCCTTATAGACGTTACTAAACACTAACACGTGTCGGCGATTATTCTAGAACAAACGTCGCTTCTATAAAAACATTTCTAGTGATTTATAATGATAATAGCGTTGACAGTAACAGCGTGTGTGTGGTATTAGTGTTAAGATCGTTTAAATAAACATTACATACTTATTTGTTAACAAAAAGATACAAAGAAAACGTGTAGGTATTGAATTTAAAACTTGGAAATTAGTGGAAATTAATGCTTTTTATCTTAGTGTTTTCAGCCTCGTAAGAATTATTCTGACAAAAATACTTAATTATATTCTCGAATATAATATTAGATAATGTCGTTTTTTTTTTCAAAAACGTAGAAGTAAAATGGCTACACTGTTTTTATTATTCCACTATTATAAATATGTACTTATTTCATGTTACCAATGTAAGGAGGTAATTGTTTTTCTTTCTGAATAATACAATATTTTTCTTGATTAGCCATTTTTGAAAGAAAACTTTTTTGTTATGTAAATGATATCTTTATCATAGGTATATGAATGTTTTTTCTATTGTTTTTGTTTATTTCATCTTTTTTATTATTGTATAAAATTCAAGAACCTATAATTATTAAAAAGATCTGAAATCATGTTCATATTATACTGTAATTTGCAAATTTGGTATCTGCAATTCTTCATTTTAATATAAGAAGTATATTTTACAAAAAAAAGTAATAACTATACCACGTAAAAATATAAAATAGGAATCTTTTACGTATGAGACAAGACGAGACAGAAGAGAATTTTTTTTGAAACAAATACGTACATGACAATCTATTTTCAGAAATATACCTTTTATAGGTACTTGATATTATCATAATTGATTTAATTTAAAATTCCTGTGAACGAAAATTTCAATATATTTATATTTATAAAAACGTATTTACGTTTTTACATCTAAGTTTGTTTTATCCCTGTCGTAATCTGTTGAATGTTAAGCATACATATTTTTGTCAGACGTAACATCCTAAACGTCCCATCGGATTTCCACGCGGACGGATCCCGGTAAATCGATTATTGTTAGTTAAATGTAAACAAGGTCACTTATCCGACCGGACGTGTGTTAGTCTGATATATTATCTAAACGATCTTGCGGTTACCGACGGCGATATAGTAATAAGCCGTAAGTCTACGTCTCACGTGGCATTTTCGCTTCGTAGCTCGTTTCCAATTCAAAAGCTGTACGTAACGCCCCCTATATAAAAGGCACCCCGCCATTGGTCGTATACACCGCCCAGCCAATTAAGGTTCTGTTCTCACCCCTGGATCTTACTTGACATTTTAATGTTTACTGCCCTGTCGTTAGACTGAAATAAAAACTTCTATCTCGACACAAAAAAAACAGAGACGTTCCAAGGAAAACTGAGACGCATTTCTTTTACGTCTACTTTTGTTTTTTTGTTTGCCAGTACGTTAAATAGTTTTAATATTTAAAGCTATTAAACGGTTGATATAATGCTAATAAAGAAAATAACATAGAATATAGAGCATAATAAAAAAGTTATATGAATATTATATACGTTAACATGTAACATAGATTGGTAGCCGTTGATACTGTGACAATGTAGCCTGTGGACCGAGACACAAGATGGGATCGCAGCCATCTCTCTCCCACCAGCTTCATCCCCGTATCTCCATCCCTCTCGGGGGTGGGACTGGATGTAATCAGGGGATGATGTGACTCGCGATCTCCGCAGCGGCTTCAAAGATCACAATTATCAGACCAGTCTGTCGAAAGCCGCGAATGAGTGGCGAAGTCATCATAAAAAAGTCACTTCAACTTTAATATATGTTTTACATTTTACATGGACAGTGATCAACTATCGTTATAAAGTGTTCTATTATGATAGTTTTGTAATATTTTTTTAATATAGCTTCCGTTTAAAATGTGCAAGAGTTAAATGTGATTTGTTTTCCTGAAAGTCAATAGTTCAACCGTCGAGCTGTCGGCCTTTTGGGAAAAGCATAGGGTTACGGCTGCGGCCTTTCGTAGGATGGGAACAGGTAGGTTATAATTAAGAAGAAAATCAGTTTAATTAAAAAAGTGTTTAAGTTTTTTTAAATATAAATATTATATTTCATTGTATAGTGTTCTTCTCGCTTACGTTTTAAGTGAATATTGATTGGAGTTGGC